GTAGTGGTCTTGGTGTAGGATTTCAACATCAAAAATGGTTTTTTCAAGATAAAACCAAAGTAGACTGGTATACTGTAAGAGGGTTGAGGAGAAAGACCTAGTAGATTTCGAGAGATCGTTTGAAGTCTGTCCGACCTGGTACAGTGACCGAAGTCGTCCCCTGCAGATCTTGACTTCTAAAGTCAGGGACCGCCGATCAAACAATTGACTACTATCCGGAAACAATGAAACCCAGGGTCCAGTTTCCTAAGGTGGGCACACCAAGACCTACAATGTGGCAAATTCTATTTATCTCTTGTTGTCACTCTATTTTTGTGTGTGTCTAGCTCCTCTAATATGTCTAAGAGGTAAAAATTATTATACGTAGGGTGTTAAAGAATGTGTGTCGACGATTGTGTTTGTATATGTTCTGTAGGGTCTGCTTTCTGTCTGTGTTATATGCATATCATGTAATACTGTCGAGAAACTCGTAACTCGTTTTCAAAAACTTCTTGTTCTAATATCTCTTCTTTGTATGACTATTGCTCAATTGTGTTAATTTTTGTTTTGTTCTTTCCTGTCTCCTCTCTTGAGAATATCTTCCTTGTCTGTGTCTTTTTTGTTCTATCCTTGGTGTTAATGGCTCTTGTGTATGTGATTTCATAATATGGGACCTAGTATAGTGCGTATTAGTACAGAGAGTATAATTCACATGGAATCCTACTTGTTTAATTGTCTCGGAGCAGTTGTAGAAAAATTGCACCTCTCTCTTGAACGTGTTAATCAACTCTCTGACTGATTTATTTTTGTCGATAAAACGGCGCGACATACTGTTCATCGACCTGCGTACATATTTCTATATGTCTCTTTTGGCTTTTTTTCTCACTTCTTTGTCGGTCCCCATGCTCAATCTAGTTAAGATACAATGGTTCTAGATAAGTAGAAGGAGTGAGTAGTATGTCTGTTATACTCTAACGCCGTGCGACCGATTTTCTCTTGCGTGTGTGGTATTTTGTTTCCTTTGTTTTGTACCACATCGACTATAAGTTTCAGCTCCTTTTGTCTAGTTTTTAACAGTCTTTATACTGGCCGTCCTTGGGACCTCTGCCCGTTGACTTTTAGCCTTTCTCAGTGTAGGCGCTTTTAGCCCTCCCATTCATTTTTTATTCATTGTTTTTTTCATTCAATTTATTCTATTTCTATTTCTGTGTGTGTGTGTGTTGTGGTGTGTGTTGTGTGTCGTGTATTTTACGCTTTTAGTATTGAAGTAATATATCTACATTTAGGTTTCGGTGTCACGATAGATCCGTCTATTATAGCGACACCTCGTATGACATTGTGTTCATTTATCGTGTCAAATTCCTCTTAAGTATTCGGTTCGGTGTGATCTTTCTAATAGTAGATAATTAATCGTAGTCTTCTATCTATTTGTTTGATAAATTCCCTAGTTATATGGAGTTTTTTACAGAAGCGCCCCTCTTCCTAGGGGGCTTGCTGGATTCTATATTGTTGCTCATAATCAGTTCGCTATTTTGTTCCTTGGGTGTTTTTATCAAAAGGTGTCTGGCGGTGACCCTGTAAACGACTTTCTGACCCTCTGAGCGGTTGTCCCACGTTTACCGTTTATTCTCGTTCCTTTCTTCGACCTTATAAAGTTTTCTCCTTATTCAAGTATAGTGCGTCTTTCGTTCTGTTGATGATTAACTCGCTACTCGTATTTATGGACCGTTTTGTGCGTTGTTGTCCGTCTCAATCCGTAGTCCATTTATGTTATTGGATTTTTCGCGTTGTCACAGTAATGACTGCAATCGTAAATCTCGGAAAAAACATAGCGTCTACAAGTATTCTACATTGTGAAAATTTATAATGTGTATTACTTTTTTTATAATTTTCTTTTGGCGTCGTAAGTATCGTATTGTATAGATTCTTTGTGTTTATGTTCTCGTAATCCTTATCTTTGTCCAATTTTCTTGATATATTTTTTTTTTTTTTTTTTTTTTTTTTCTTTTCTTTACAAAATAATGTGACCAGTCTTTGTCGACAATCGTATTAGCTCACAACCTAAATATAAACTTAGTCGAAAGTTTACGACTATATTGTACTTTCGCAATAGGGGTTGTAAGAAAAAAAAAAAATTTGATAGAAGAAAGAATACAGGAGCTGAGTCCAGGAGACTTTAAGTCACCCATTGAAGATTAGAAACATAGGTAAACAAGTAACGAAAACGATTCAGTTTTGTGTAAAAAGAGAGCGAAAGTCATGTTCTCACACAACCCGAAACCGTCGAGAAAGGAACGGGACCACAATGATCAGAGCTTTCGGAAGTAAAACAACTTCGCGATTTCGTCAAGTTGATCTAGCGTTTGACGATTGTGTGCGACTGCGTTTCACTTCCAAACACTTCAAAATTTCGCATATGACGACCGAATTTTATTTACAATCAGCAGCATCAAGTTATGACGCCCACATGGCATAAATGTTTCTTTTTCTGAGAGAGTCTGAGTAGAGGGCGTTTGGCCGACGTTCATAAACTAACAACTTGGCAATGTACTCCCACAGGTTGAGCATTCCCATTTGACAACTAGATATATACGATCGTTTACAATTGACTTAGAGAGGTCTCTCTGCGAAATCGTTTTTATGAAATCGAATTTTCACGTTTCTAGTACACACGTTTGTGTTTTGAGGTCAGTCGGAAATGAAAGACATCACTCAATTTTTGAAGATTTTTCGTGTGATGTAACTCTCACTTCCAGCGTAATTTGTATATTTACGCCTCTTACGCGATACCATATTGCACATCCGGGGACTTTGTTATAGGAACTGAATACCAATTATACACCTGTTAGTAAAATGCCAATCGGATGAATAGAACTTGTATTGCCTGTACTAAAAGAAAAATTTTATGAAAACTGGTCTCTCACCCGAAATCACTATCTATGGGAGTTACCACTCTCCCCCTCCTGTATCGATTTTACAGTCGCGCGGGGGTCTAGGAAAAATAGAGGCCCTAGTAAAAGTGGATAGATGAATAGTAAGCATATAATCGCTTACTAGAACTATACAAGACAAGATAGTTAACATTAATATAAGGTTAATGTAAATACAAACAATGTCATGTTCACACGGTGAAATTTTGAGAGAGCGGAGAAACTATCACTTGAGGGAAAAACTATCCCGCTCTGTAATAATACGGGATACATGAATAATACTCCCAGACACTGTAAAATTTTCCAACCCCATTGCATTGAAAACTCTTTGTCCGACGGCTCACGCGATTTAAACTTTGATGTGTCGGCCTTTCTGTTCAGCGGGAGGAATTTCGCGGGAGGAGGTTGTGTGTGCTCTACCCGCGTCGTACTGGCTTACTCCCGGCCCTATTCAAACACCGGTCTACCTTCCGACTGTCCGTCCATCGCGTCGGTCAACGAATCGCCCGGCCGATTTTACTAGACCAGCACGAAAATGTCCGCGATTCGCCGAAGGTGTCTACGTTTTAACATAATATAAATAACAGGTTTCGGTAAAGATAAGAAGTAACGATAGCCCTACTAACTGTCTCGTATAGTACCTTATTATTTCGTTTTTCACAAAGACTTTATTTAATGGTATGGGGTGAATGGCTAGCAACAGATTTAGACCATTACGATGATGCAACAACGCAGACATCTATAAGATATTGTCAAAGACATCCGAATCACTCTTACATATAACATCTTTGAGTATAAAAGACAATATGAAGCACATTAGGTAAATCTAGTCCGGTCCCTATATAACGGAAAAGTACATTGACCATTGGGTGGGGACGAACGACGATTAAACTTAAACGGTAATTGTAAGCGGATAAACTCGAACCATTACGAACTGTGACGAACGACACGTTTTATGAGTTAAACCCTCATTTATTTCATGGATACATAGCTAGTAGATCAGTAGGAGAAAAATAGAAGTTTAAAAGAACCTGATATATCAAGCCAAGGGTAATTTTCGTCAACCTCGTAACAGTGATCCGGATCAGACCCAATCTTGACAAATTATTTCCTTGAGACTTTTTCGTCGATTACAATTCGGTCTACTTACGAGAATTTTCACACGCCATATTAAGTGGTAATCGAGAACCTCCGGCGTCGGAACTACATCCGCAAGTAGTACGACGTCTAACTTCCCAGAAAACCTCGGAGAGGTCCTAGTCCCACGTCCGGTACAACCTGCAGCACAACACCTCCAGCTTTCTTTGCAGCATCCCCGTAGACCGAAGAAACCAGCGCTTATAGGGCACTAGAGCGACCCGAGGGGTCTTGTGATCATTTTGACCCCACGGGGTGAGATCTTGCGTGGAGCCCCAGATCGAGGGAGATTATCAGTGGTCTTGTATGTCTTCCATTTTCTAATAATTGCTCCCACAGTTGATTTCTTCACACCAAGCTGCTTAACTATTGCAGATTCAGTCTTCCCAGCCTGGTGCAGGTCTACAATTTTGTTTCTGGTGTCCTTTGACCGCTCTTTGGTCTTGGCCATAGTGGAGTTTGGAGTGTGACTGTTTGAGGTTGTGGACAGGTGTCTTTTATACTGATAACGAGTTCAAACAGGTGCCATTAATACAGTTAACAAGTTGAGGACAGAGGAGGCTCTTAAAGAAGAAGTTACAGGTCTGTGAGAGCCAGAAATCTTGTTTGTTTGTAGGTGACCAAATACTTATTTTACCGAGGAATTTACCAATTAATTCATTAAAAATCCTACAATGTGATTTCCTGGATTCTTTCCCCCCATTCTGTCTCTCATAGTTGAAGTGTACCTAGGATGAACATTACAGGCCTCTCATCTTTTTAAGTGGGAGAACTTGCACAATTGGTGGCTGACTAAATACTTTTTTGCCCCACTGTATATATGACTTGTAAGCTTCATTATCCTCTCCACCCACACGTCATATCGGATTAAGAAAGAATCCCTATTTGCAGATACCGTGCTATGTTGTCGATATTCTTCTCCTCCTATTCTTTAAACCCACTCTTTTTACGTAGTTTGAAATGTTGTTTTGGATTGGTTTGTTTCCTAATTGGACTTTGTAGACTTGTTTTGAAAACTGGAATGTGAATCAATATTTCTTTCTCTCGTGTCTACTCTCTATTTATTCCCCTATCTTTTATCCACTCTCCATTCTTTCGCTGCTTCAATATCTCATCCAGATTTCTTGCCTCTCAACTCCCCTCTCGTCTTCGCTCCCTCCATATGTTGAAGTTCTTTCCATCGTTCAATCAAAATCTCCACCTCAGGCACCATTAGCTGAGCCGAATGTTCGCTACTATAGAACCTCATTAATACCACTCTCCTGTCAGAGCCAAGAGGGAAAACACAGAGAAAGACCAAGAAAAGAGAAGGGGACAAGCTCAGGAGAAAATACCTGTCATATTACACATCCAACATATCTACTGCATGGAGCGCACACATACAATGCTTTCACCAAGTTAACTCAGGATGCTTGCTTATCTAACATTTATATATCTGGCCAATTTAGTCTTGGCTAAAACCAGTGGATAACTAGCACCAGTGGATAAGAAATATTTCAAAAATTGCAGTCTGCAAAGAGGTTGTGACTAAGTTCAAATCATTGAAATTGGTGAAAAAAACAAACAGATTAACACCTTAGCAGCACCCTCATAACTCTACAGCACCAACAGCTCTGACCCTAAAACCTTGAAAAAACATCAAATTGTGTTGAAATCAGTTCGAACTTGTTAAGGCTCACTATTAAACCCATTAAATGATCATTAATGTTGTGAGATGAGCCAGTGTGAGTCGTTAATGTGTGCAGAAGCCAAAAGCATTCACTGCTACAGATAAAGTGGAACAGGAGCAGAGCGAACAATAAGACTATTTTAGTCAGCTTTCTGAAATGTTGATAACAAATGAGGATAGATACATACGTAAATGCATCCACCGCCCATTGAGTCAGAGATGGTAAATTGACGGTAAAAGTGCTCTTGTCAGAAAAAAGTTTTCCTGACATCAGTGTCCATCCATCAATCGAAACACCGCTGTATCCCGGCCTCGCTGCTGGATGCTCGATGTGCCAATTAGCGGACAGGGTAAGGGCCTGGCGTAGAGTGCCAGCCACGGGCCCTGCCAATTAGAGCCTGACCTCCTGTCTAACCCTAATACTGGCACGGTGAGTGGGCACCACACCCTGGGCGGGGGGTGAAGTAGGACGCCAACCTGTAGAGGACGGTTGAGTGGACAGCCTCCAAGACTAGAAAAGTGGATACTGGTATGTACAGAACACAGTCAGTAGGACATATCCAAAGGGTATCAGTGCAGACAGAACATCTGCTCATTAACTTAGAACTCATTGACAAGGATCAACACAAATCAAGGACAAAACATGCCTCTGTTTTGAACTCTTTACAAACATTACCTTTTCGAAAGAGGAAGTAAACTGTAAAGCTGATTGTCATGTTTACTCTTTCAGTGGCTATAACTTGTCATTGACAAGGGTTTATAGTTTGTAAGGTCCCAACTTAATATGATATATTAGAGTGACTGAAGCATTTCCCCCTCTGCCCTATTACTGTCAGATCTCTAATCGTAGCTCCCCCTCTGGGCCAGTCAATAAAAGTCTAATAATGCTGAAGAGCAGGAGGGCCATATTCTGTTTTACTATTAGGTCTACTACAGTAAGTCAAAATCCAGGCACATATAAAGAGATAAATAAACACACAGAGTATATCATATTACACTCTTGATTGAAGGTTTATGATTTTGCATTCAAACAGTAAAGCAAGTAAATAGAGGTACTGCATGACTTCTCAAGGGCTGTAAACAGTTATGGAGCATCTGAGGGGAATATGAAATTAGACTGGTAAAAGGCAGCACATTTAAGAGTTTATCCATAAGACTGCTCTCTATGTGGTAAGATTATTTTGATGAGAGGGTAAACAAGGTTACAAGAACGTTCAAAGCCGAAATTGCCTATTTCATCCCAAATTCCAACATACACAAGTGTGCAATGGCTCTTTTTCTCTTCAACGTTTGCAGACTTTTGATTATCTCCATCCAAATAATACTAGGTATCAAAAAACATTATTTACAAACTGGAAGACCACCTTGAGATGAGGGTATTAGGGGGTCTGTGATTCATGCCACATCACCCTTCTTCTTCCGTAACACATGCACTGAGCAAAAAACACCTGACAAATCATTTCCAACGTCATACAAATCAAATTTAAATCCAGTTACATCAAGCCTGGCAGGGGTTATGCTTGCAACAGCACAGAAAACTGGAGTCAAAGATAGGATGCAATTTGTCCTTGGTGAGCTGAACATATCCACAATATATGTAAATCACCGTGTACCACTACCTCTTGTTATCTCATTCAAAAGTAAAAGACGTGAGGACCTTTTCTCCCCCCAATCTTCTTTGTACTCTGTGATGTGGAGAAAAAAGCAATACGTTTAGAGTAAAATACATTTTTTTCATTTCCCTCTATATTTTTTTTTAAATACCACCAACAGGCACCAATTCAAAACCCAGCAAGTCTCCTTTAATACCTTGGAAATTAAATTGTCAGCCCATTATCAGCAGAGTCCAGTCGGCCATATCTAAAATGCAACAGCAACATAAGATTTATAAAAATCAAGGCAGGACATTTGCTGGAGACTGCAGTTTTTGAAGGGGTGGAGGGGAGAGGAGTACCAGGGCAAGCAGAGGGGGGCTTGCTGCATTAAAAATATTGAGCTTTACCCAAAGTCATTTTCAAGCCAGCCAAGCATCAAATGGAACACAGTTTAAGGAAAGGGTAGGCACTGATTTTCTCCAGGAGCTTTGACAGGATGGACACGGAGTGTGTGCACTGCAGAGAGCCAACAAACACTGTTGCTGTGAAGGCAGAGGTAGTGGAAAAACGCTGGAATATCAAATGAGCTACTTGTATAATATATGCGTGTTGCTGTGAGTGTATGAGTGAGAGAGAGAGAGATTTGATGATGGAAACAGAGGGAGTAACAAAAGCATGATAAACTACAAGGTTGATAGGTAAACAACGCATTTGATATTCTGTTTTATTCTGCGCTTAGCCTTTCACCTACACATGAAACAAATTCCTGTATTAATGTTTATAAATGCTGCTTAGGGTTTCATTCTATTGATATTTTTTGTAAACAGGTCGATAACATCTTCAATTATGATCTGTTTCCGGGGTATGGGTGGGGGAGGAGCTGCTACATCCCAAAGGGTCGTTGATCTGCTTCTATCCTTTTTGTATTGTGTGTTTTGTATGAGCTACCGTACTTATGAATTTGATAACCTGTTTAAGGACAACGGATCTCAGACTAATAATCCTGCTTGCACTGCCAACTAGTGGAGACATCAGGCTTTTCCCAAACCCTATCCTGCTGTGATCTAACATTGCGTTGTAGTTTAACAGCTGCTTGTTGTTTCAATCAGACCAAACCTGACCACTCATGTTTTCGGATGTTTTTACTGTATCATTTAAGAATTATGGCTACACATTTCCTGTCAGAAAGGTTGGGTTCTTCACCTGTATCTTACCAGCTATATTTTAAGTTTTATTTATGAAATGTGGCTTTCCTTATTTGCTGTGGCAGGTCACTTGACTTGAGAATTCATTGTTTTTGTTCGCTATTTCTGAAATCTACAGTTTAGAATTAAAACACTGGATAATTAGTACAATACAGCAGAAATATGAAATATATCATGGTCCCAGTCCAATTATTATTATATTCCCAATTTAATGTAAACCTATGTGCCATGGTGGTTGGGTACATTTTTTATCTGCCACAGCCAATAGAATACATGCACGGAAAACCCAAAAACTATTTAACACTCTGCTTTTAAGTTTCAGTTGCATATTTGTTATGCTTTATACTGTTGCCTTTTGTCTTTCAATCAGAGTTAGGGCTTAACATGTAAATGTAAGATCTGAGGGTTTAAACCTTTTACCAACAGTAGACAAAACCATTGCCACCAGGTAGACCCCACCTGGGCCAGTGTGCTGAGCTCGGAAAGATTGATGACTATGGGTTTGATCGAAAAGTCTGCCTAGGGGGTTAGCCTGTGTCTCGGTGAAATGCTGTGGCCAGTGATTGATTGGCCACTGGGCCAGTTCGGCTCCACAGAAAGCAGAGTCGTCAAAAATCCAAAGAGGGGATGGTGGGAGCGTGTGATTTCATTAAAACACAGATGTGTTTACTGACAGATGGCTGTAGACTGTGAATAAGAGAGTAATATGCCATGTGCTAGCTAGTATATCTCTCTGTCAAAACTCATCATTTGTCAGTCCATAAAGACTAGATTATATATACATTTAGATCATTCATTCACTGGTCTTTTCTGCTCTGACTGCAGCAAGTATCCACTGCAAAGAATCACCTATTCCCTAATTAGTCTTTCAAATAAATTAAGCTCTAATGGATGTTCTCTAATTAAGGGTTTATTTGTGTGTAATGAGTCTACTCAGTAACTCCTTGATGAGGCCATCTTGACCACATAAAGCCAACAATCAGAGTTCTTCCACACCATGCCGC